ATCAGCATGGGAAGAAATTCTAGAAGTCTTTAGAATTTTAATGGCCTTAACATTGTCTAAAATGTTTTAGAGTTGGAAAGGTTGTCTGTGTGTATGGATTCTTCTGGAACCCAATTATAGAATTAATATTTGACAAGATCTTGATCATTCATGGTAAAGGCCATTGGCCTATAAATAGGAGTGGGAGTTCACCAAGCAACCAAATGGTGCAAGACAAATCCTTCCATTAACATAAACTCTCTTGCTACACCTCTACAACATCCAATTCTCACACGTGTATATAAATTTGTAAGATTCTAATTCTCATAAATGTGTATATAAATTTGTAAAATAGAATCTTAAATTAAGAAAACTGTTGTGTCCTTATGCGTCCATTTTTCAAAATATTAAACAACTCAATTATCAATGTTGGGTGTTTTACACGTGTAAATAATTTTTCGTGTATCTAATTGGCAAGTTTCTTATAAGACAACGATGATGCAGCCATAACCATTTCTTCTGCTGGACGGAGGGGGAAATACGAGAGTATCCCAATATATTTAGTTTTGAAAAAGAAAAAATGAAAAACATTGCAATAACTTTTATAAATTGTAATTTTAAAGTGCATGTTTTAAGTACATGCTCAATTGTTTCTATCAAAAGCCTGGTCAAGAGCCAACTTAAGCTGTAGATCTAGACCTTCAATTGGTTATTGTAATTTTTTTCTATCATAATTAACCATTTAAGACTATTTACATTCTTAAAAATCATTTTAAAAAATTAATTTCATCATGTTATATGTTTGTATGCAAAAGTCAAAATTTAATTTAGGGATATCATCTCTAACTTTCACTTTCAGAATGAATGTGAGAGTCAAAGTTTGACGGGACAAATGAATTTGTGAGTTCTTTTGTATTTCCTTCCTTTTTATTTTGTTATTTTTTCTTTTAGCCATTCTTTATCTTGATTATCGAAGTAATAAATATTATCAAAATAGGCTCTTATTGTTGTTTTATTCTCGATCTCACTTTCTTATATATAACTTTTTGGATTACTTTTTTAGAGTTGAAAACAATTTTTTTGTGGCCAGTTGAAGATAATTTTTTATTTTTTTGAACAAGTTGTTTGTTGATGAATTATTGTTAGCCAATATATATTTTGTTAAATATTTTGTTTTCACAGCAAATATGTTGAATTGTATGCTAAAATGGTTATTTGGTATATTTATAAGGTCATTTGAGTCATTTTTTTTCACTTAATGGTAGTTTGGGCATTTATAAAATATTTTATTAACAAACTTAACTTTAGAGGTGGTTAGAGAAATTTGAATAAATATCAAGGGGTGTCAATGGTTATTTTGATTATAATTTCGACTGAGAAATATTTGGACAAACTCAGAGAGGTCGGGTATTTCATCCTACTTATTTATATTTAGTAATTCACTATTATTTTCAAATTCAAATAAATATTTTATGACAATTATTATTATTTTTCAAAAATTTCTTAATCAATGTACCTTTAAAGTCATATAGTGTTTTATAGAGATTGAATTTTTAATTTATAAATGAGAATTTTGAGCTTAACTTAATCGAGTTGCTTTTGAAGTCACAAGAGTGTTTTTAATGTGTAAAGGTTGAATCTTTAAATGAAAATATTTTAATCATATATATTTGAAGTTACTAGAGTGTTAGCATATATGAAGATTATATAAATATTGAATATTTGAAAAGTTTTTATTTCCTTGTTTCTAATTCTTGCATTCTTCTTTTATATATATAATAATAATAATTATTTATTTTATTTATCATTTTTAATTAGTAAAGCACATAGTAAAGAAGGCCATTAGGTCGGCTCGGGTGGTATGAATTTTATTTTATTTTTAAAACCCTGGCAAAGAACTCCTACAAGCCACAATATTCTCAGAAAAATTGAACGCTACACGTTTCGCTTTGAAATTATAGAAGATGTCACTGGAATAAAGTATAGACTTTTGTGGTAAAATTCTATTTATTCCAAATAATATATATACATATATATATATAGATTCCCGGGGCATTTCTTCATGTATAAATTCGCGATGATTGTGATTTAATCGATGAGAATAAATCAGACTCCCCTGTTTTGAATGTCGTGACACATTTCAGGGAGAAGAAAATTCCATATCTCAAAGCAAGTGTATTATACGCTAAGAATAATAAAAAGCAATTAGATATGATGGGTAATTCGTTTCCTTTGAGGAAAAGGTCAAAAGGAAGAAATTTTTTAGTTTTGTTATTTAATTAAAAAAAAATGTCTTTTGATTTTGATTTTATTTATTAATTTATTTTTGGTAGTTCTGTTTGTAGCATTGCAGCAAAAATCACAACAAAAACCTTCCAAAAAAAATGATGCAATTTATACTATATTTCAATAATTTACACATAAATAAATTCACACTGATTCTTTTTAGTAGAGATAAGCTCATTCTCAGATGTAAAACTAATGTGGTTTATGAGATATTATTATTTAATTATTACTTTCGTCCCACTTTAATTGTCGCATTTGGAAATATTATGAGTCACATTTTTCAAAGGCGACATTGTAAGTTACATTTTTTGAAGATGATAATTAAAATGGGACGAAAGAAGTATATTATCTATAAGATTTTTTTATGCTGATATACTCCTTTTTAATTACCAATTATCTTTTGGGCACTAAGCACAACTTAGGTTCCCAGGACTTCTTTCTTTGCTTTTTGTAATAGCTGATTCCTAGTACTTCTTTCTTTGCCTTTTGTAATATGTGTGTGTGTGTGTGTATATATATATATTCTGTGCTTGGTGGCCAGAATTTTCAGAGAATTCAAAAAAACATTAAATGTAAGATCACCATATCCTGTTTATGACTAATTTTTCTTTTTCTTTAATATATATGGTCAGTGTCTATGAATTTTTTTATTTTTATTGGGTGGGCATTTAGGCTCATTTGTTTGGATGTAAAATATTTTTTAAAAAATATATATTTCTTTATTTTTTGGTATTTGATTATTGTAAAATATTTAAGAAAGAAAATAACAAAAATAACTCCAGAAAGTTGATGGGTAAGTTATTCTACAAGTCTTACTCGTTGAACTCGGCCTACACCAAAAAATACAAACAAACAAAATATTTTACGTGGAAAAAATATATATTTTCAGCCTTAAAATTTTTATTAATTTATTACCAAGCATGTTATTTGTTTCTTGCTTTAACAATCCAATAAAAAATATTTGTTACCAAAGGTGCTCTTGCTTCTAACATAAATCACACAACATAAAACACTATCTCCAATGATTACGAAGAAATAAACAAAAACCAACCTTATTTAAACATTTGTTGGGAGTTTCAGCCTTGGGTAAGTTTGCTTAACCTTTCAAAAAAAATAAAAAAAGGGACCATATTTATCAACAAATATAGGAAAATGAGACCAAGGGATAAAAATAGTAATGTTATACATTTTCTTTAAGATGTGTGAATATTTTCTCTCATTTTAACTTGAACGTGGATTCGAACCTCCTGTGAGAGTTAATTGTCAGAATAATAAATAATAATAAACCTTTAGAATAGATGATAACTTTACCATCAACTTAATTACACATATTAGAAGAAAAGAAGACCACGACTGAGAAATGTGACAAATAATATAAATATTAAAGGTACAAATAATAATAATAATAATGATGAGCATAGAAACAAAGGTTATTGTCAATATTTAACAAGTTACAAATTGAAAGTCGAAATATATATATATATATATATATATATATATATATATATATAAAGCATACTCGAGTTGTGGGGGTTTGACGAGGAATGGAAATGAGACGAGAAAGGGTCTGAGGATGAGAAGATGTTCAAAGTAAATTGTGGAGACCAAAGAAAATTGGGAGTGGAAAAGACTTTCATATGACTGGAATTCTAACATTTATTATGATTCAAATTTGATTGGGATCCATCAACGAACAAGTCACTAGTCTAAAACAACTGCTGGTCTCCCACTTTTCACACCTTCATTTTCATTTTTTTTTTTCTCCATGTTGTCCTGCATTTATCTCTTGACCAGAGTTAGAAGGTGAATAAATTAATAATTTTGTATTTGGTGGAAGCTTCTTATTCCTGCTGATCTTCCATGGAAAAACAGGGATCAGATGGCATATATATATATATATATATATATATATATATATATATTGTTTGGCAAATGTTGGGTTGTTCTTATGTTTGGGAGTTTATATTTGAGTTTGGTAACGTGATAAATTAGACTAATTTTATTTGAGTAGAGGGTTGAGATTGGTGTCATGATGACATCATAAATAATAATGACATTCTTTTGATATTAATTCATTCACATAAATTAGTTAGGGTTGTCTGATTTTCAAATTCCAAATTGTTTTTCTCTTAGAAAAATTATAAATTTATTTAATTGATGAATCTTAGAGTGCTGGAATAAAGTTCCAAAACTGAAAAAGAGAAATATATATGTATGAAATATATTAAATTTAATCCTTTTAAAAGTCAAAAACAAGCACACACACAAATAATAATAATAATAATAATAAAATAAAAAGAGCAACTTACCAAAAAAATAAAAAGAACTAGGTGTAGGCTGCAGTAGAGAGACTTTATTAATGTGGCACAAAATATATAAGGTAAATTACGCTGACTTTTTTGAGGTTTAAATAAATATAAATAAATTATTTTAATTTAAATTCTTCGTCATCTACTCACTATTAAAATGTGATTTTGAATTTGAAAAGTTAATAATATTTTTCTATATTAATAGTATATTACCTAATAATTTATACTACAACGAAACAACATTTTATAAATTTTAGTTAAACAGGTTCCGAAAAGAAAATGCTACCTGCTGAGGACACCTTCCAAATTTTTAAAAAAGTTGTAAAATAATAAAAATTAAACCGTCTACTGAATATGTAATTTGTCCGAACCTCAGGGCAGAGATGTGTAATTTACCCAAATATATATATCTATATAATTCATACTATCAGTGCCCGGTCTATTGCAAGCAATTTTGTGTCTCTCTCATCCTCTGTTCGCATTTCGTTTTCTCAATGGCTTCTTCTCCTGTAAAAGCAGCACTGGGTGAACTCAACAAAGACTCCTTCGTGACCCTCCTCTCGAAGCTCATCGGGGAGTCCAAGTACGTACAGAACAACCCACCAGACCTCATCCCGGAAGAGGACAGAATCGTCCGGCACGTGCTTGACGTCCTCCTCCCCTTCAGCACTACCACCGGCGGTGGCCCACTCATCGTCAACCATGTCACCTACAAACCCAATAGAGGCAACCTGATAGTGGAGTACCCTGGAACTGAGCCAAACAAGGTCTTGTCTTTCGTGGGAATGCACATGGACGTTGTCACTGCTAACCCTGATGAGTGGGTCTGTTCTTTATCGCTCTATTCATAGTTTTTGGCTTTAATTTTTTTCTGGGTTTGATCTAATCTTTGCTTTAGGGCTTTACATTTTTTTTGGGTCAGTTTAACGTTTACCCATTTGGAATTCTCTGTATGATCTGTCTTTTATTTTGTTTTATTAGTAGTAATTTTTTTTTTTTTGAGGGTTTAATCTTGATAAGGTTTGGAACTTGTCTTGTTTTGTCATTTTAAGGCAAATTTAATTCAAGGAATCTAAATTACTGTATAATCTGTCTATTAATAGTTTTTGGTTTTTATTTTTTCTGGGTTTGATCAAATCTTTGGTTTAGGGGTTTACATCTTGTTTTTGTCAGTTTAAAGTCTACCAATTTGGAATTCTCTTTATAATCTGTATGTTCTTTTTAACCCTTTTGTTGATTTGTTTTATTTTTGTTGTGGGTTTAATCTTCATAAGCTTTGGAACCTGACTTGTTTTGTTATTAAGGCTAATTTAATTCAAGGAATCTAAATTACTAATGATAAGCTTTGGAGCTTGACTTTTTTTTTTTCGTCCTCCACTTTTGAAATTCACTTATCATGTAGAGGCAAAAAGCTAAAAATGAAGTGCCAATGATTTTTTGAAGCTTTGTTTTGGTTTCTTGATATTGTTGCATTATCTTTTGTGGGGTTTATTTGAATTTGCTTCAGTGTTCCAAATTTGTTGTCTAAAGTTGAATGACTTTTATGCATCTTATGTTTGTTATGCAGGAATTTGATCCGTTCTCAATGAGCATTGATGGGGATAAACTTCGTGGCCGTGGAACAACTGATTGTTTAGGGCATGTTGCTCTTGTAACTGAGCTTATGAGGAAGCTGGGGGAGGCAAAGCCAAAATTGAAGTCCTCTGTGGTTGCTGTTTTCATAGCTAGTGAAGAGAACTCATCCATTCCAGGAGTTGGTGTAGATGCACTAGAAAAAGATGGATTGCTTAGTAAATTAAAGCATGGTCCTCTGTGAGTAGTTAAAATCTGCTATAAGAAACTCATTAAGGGAGAATTTCTTAAAATGATACATGCTAACCTTAATTTATTTTTAGTTCCCTACTTAATCACTCTCTCTTGTTCCTCGCAGCTTTTGGATTGACACGGCAGATAAACAACCTTGCATTGGTACTGGTGGTTGTATTCCTTGGAAACTTCATGTCACTGGAAAGCTTTTTCACAGTGGTCTAGTACACAAGGTATTCCATTTCCACTGTTCATTTGGTGCAAATACTGCATTTGACCAAATATAAGAACTAATTTGCAGCCTTTTCTTTTCAAAATACTGAGATAAGAGATGTGGAAACTGAGAATACCCCATATCTTTGGTTCTGTGGATAGAAAAATAATAAAAACAAATTGTGGAAGAATTTTGTTTAAATCTTGGATTGGACAGGAGGAGACATCACATTTCGAGCTATTTATTGCATTGGCTTCTAATGACTTAGAAAGACTCCCATACTTTTCCCAATTTCATTCTTCAAGTCTAACCCAACTGCAACTGTTGCCACCGACAACCCACTTGTGCCCCTAGTTGGGTAGTGTGAGGCTTAGACAAACCTCCTTTGGTATAGGCCATGGCTTAGGGATGTTTTTAATGGTCAACTTCTTTTATTTATCAAAAATACCATGTCTCTCACACCATATGAGTTAGATGTCCTCATCGGGAGCTTGTCCAAGTACTCCCACACTTGCTTCTCAAATTGTCACAATGTTGCATCTTGTTTTCAACTTGCCTCACCTTGTCACAACCCTTCTACTGCACTAGATAGTTTAGCTGACTGTTCTTCTATCAGGACCCTCCTCACACTGTGCATATGTTGTCCGCTTTGCACCCGCTTACACATGTAGGAGGTATCCTCCCTTATAAGTGCTAGCGACTTCTCTCCCTAGGCAATGTGGGACATCACAATTTGTCCCTCTTGGGACCCAACATTCTTTCTAGCTTGACCCTCATGGGTTTGTGCACGCTTCTCCCATATTCCGGGTGGGGATTGGTTTTGATACCATTTGTCAGGACCCTCATCATATTGCGCAGAAATTGTTCGTTGTGCACTCTCTTGGCACTCATAGTTTTAAAACGCGTCTACATAGGTAGGAGGCATCCCTTCTTAAAAGTGCCAGCAACTTCTCACCCCTGGCCATGTGGGACATCGCTATATCTTTGACCTTTGATTCCAATGAGCAAGAATCTTCTCAACCTCCTTATCAAACTGTTTTTTGATTACTGGAGAACTCTCCTGACTTGTTGTCAGGTCAAATTTGCAGTGTTCACAAGAAATGGCTTGAGAAAGCTCACACGAAATTTTGTAGGAATACTATGGCCATCCGGCTGCATCATGTTATAAGCTACATTGCTTACCCGTTGGTTGACCTCAAAGAGACCATCATCCTTAGGGTCCAACCCATGGCAAACTGTTTTACTGCTGATCTTCTAAATCTGTGGAGTTAGTTTAAGTAACATCTTGTCACCAACCTGAAACTCCAAGGAAAGCCTGTCCTTTTCCGCCTACTTTTTTATGCGTCTGACAGCCTTGGCCAAGCTGTCTTGTGCCTTACCCAGCATATCCGGCTTTGAGCGAGCAAATCTATATGTTGCAAGGCACTTGCCTTCTTTTTTGTTCAAGGCCATCTCTTATGGAGTTCGAGGTTGTTGACCAGTAGCCAACTCAAATGGGGCCGTGCTAGCTCTGAAGATTGGTGCAGGTTGTAGCAGAACTGTGCCTTGTCCAGCAACTCTACCCAAATATTTTATTTTTGACACGCCATCACGTAATGCCTGGGTTATCTTCTGTCAAATGGTTCATCCTCTTGGTGTGACCATCTGTCTAGGGTGATTAGCTGTGGAGAACTTCAACTCTGGACCCATCAAGTTAGAGCTCTAGAAATGACCAGCGAACCTAGCATCCTGGTTACTGATTATTTCTTCCGACAAAATCAAAATATTTGACCACATGCCTGTGGCACAATTTCTCTACTATATTTGTTGGACTGGCATGGGGTGCTGCAATTAACTTTCTATACATTCTTGTATCTAGTTTTTCTGGATAACATGTCATGATGAACATGTACTCTGGTCCTAAACACACTGTCCATCAGATCCTGGGAATTGGTTTCATTCACATGGTGTAACTATATCCAAATTTAAATGTCATAAAATGCATCAATAGGCTTTGATGCAAAGAGAGGTCTTATTTGTAAAAAGACTGAAGAATGACCCAACCCAGAGGTTTTGCCATTTCATTTCTAGTTGAATAAAATATTTAGTACTTATCTGAAAGATTTTCTAGTAGTATTGCTTGTTTTGGGTGTTAATAAGTGATGTTACAAAATCAATAAATGTTTTTACTGCTAGTGATGTGAGAGAGATTGATTTAGAGATGAATGTGTTGTTGAGAAGTTAGAGGTAGCTCCAATTAAGGAGTTTGTCAGACAAATTGGATGATTTGGTTTGATCTTGCACAATGAAGCCAGTAGCAGGCTTCCTACATGGTTAAGCTTATGAGGGTTTGTGCTACTGTGTAGAGGTAGTGAAGGAAGACCTTATGATCTTTAATGTTGCAGAAGTTAGGGCTCTAGGCAGAGGAATAACGAAAAGGGAGGTGATATTGGTACTTCCCTTTTTGATTAAATTTAATCATTTTCTTGTATTTTTTTTCGTTAGTATGAATGACAATGCCCCTAATACTTGATTCCCTTACTTATGAGTTAGGCAATTTAGGGCTAATAATGTCATTTCACTTTAAAAGGGGAGTGCCTAATATTGTGTCCCTAATGCGAATCAGGATCAATTTAGCTGATCCAAATGATTTAAGTTTATGCATTAGTCTAGCTTCATTGAAAATCTTTGACAGGATAGTGTTGAGCTAAGAAAAAAATTGAATTAATATGTCCAACTATTGTACTATATTTTTGAAGGTTCTTGTTGAATATCTGCAGGCTATAAATCCTTTGGAACTAGCTATGGAAGCTATTAAAGAGATCCAATTGCGATTCTATAAAGATTTCCCTCCCCATCCAAAAGAACAGGTTTATGGATTTGCAACACCATCAACCATGAAACCGACTCAATGGAGTTGTAAGTTTTTAGCTGATAAGTAACAAATTCTAGAAAAGCAACATGTTCCTGTTCCTTTTTAATTACTTCATTATACTTGTCAAAAAAAATTTTGACACCTGCTTTTCTTTTCCATATTTATTTCTTACAGATCCTGGAGGTGGTATAAATCAAATTCCTGGGGAGTGTAGAATCTCAGGAGATGTCAGGTATAAATCTCTTTCAACCACTATTTCAAGGACCATAGATGTAGATCAAAGTCTAATAATTTCCCTTTTCTGTTGCAGGCTAACGCCATTTTACAAGTAAGCAACTTGCTTTCTTTTAAGCCAAAATCGGATTTGCTAATTCAGAAAGCAGATTCTTCAATCTGGAATCCTTTAATTATTTCATATTCACATTGTTGTTAAATTTCAACATCTTTCCAAGTAAGAGAAATAGGTTGAATGTTTTAAAATTCTTTTTCTAATACTTTGGACACTCTGTTTCAGCGTAACAGATGTGATGCAGAAGCTACGAGAATATGTAGATGATATAAATGTCAACATTGAGAAGCTGGATACAAGAGGGCCGGTTTCGAAATATGTCCTACCCCATGAGCAATTGAGGGGAAGGTGTCTCTTCTTCTTCTTCTTCTTCTTCAAAGAAGTACCTTCTCATTATGGGAACTTAACAGAAATTGTTCCATATAAAATATGGAATTGTTCCATATAAAATACATGCTCTACTGAGAGTAATTTGATTTTATTAAGATTCAAGTGAAATTTTGCTAAGTTATGTCTATATATTTAATATGTAACAGCTCAAAGACGACCTTTTTATTATGGAAACTTCACAGAATTTTTTTTTGTATAAGATACATGCTCTCCTGAGACTAATTTAATTTTATAAGAGGCATGACAAATTTGGCTCATTTATGTCTATATATTTAGTTTATATAATGTGGGTTAGTTATTTTGGCCTTTCTCATCCTGCAGAATTACAATAAGTTTTGATGATGCATCGTCTGGGGTTGCTTGTGATCTTGATTCCCGCGGTTTCCATGTATTGTGCAAAGCCACTGAAGAAGTGGTTGGGTATGCAAAACCCTACTCTATAACAGGCACTTTGCCACTCATACGAGAACTGCAGGTAAAGTATATTTTTCTTTATTTTATTACTATTTAACTTTTCTGGGATTCAAATACGGAACTATCACTCACCTCCATCCTTGTGTGTCAGGATGAAGGCTTTGATGTTCAAACTTCAGGCTATGGTATGATCCTCTTGCGTCTTAATTTAAATTGGGTTTCCATCTTTGAAAGATCATTGTGGAATGCTTGTGAACTTAATTGCAAAACAACTTTAAAAAAATGATATAACAGAAAAGAAGAATAACATGCCTGAAGGTCGAGAATTTTAAAAATATATTATCCAGTTTTTATCTTTTAAGGATAGAGTTATCTAGGTAATCCACGACATGCTAACAACAAAAGTGACGATCAGGGTTTTCAAGGTGGAGCTCTATGCTATGTACCTTGTGTAAGCTAGTTTAAGTGAACGCTATATACCTTGTATAATCTAGCTTTGGGTTGAGTTGGAATCTTTTTTATTTTTATAATTTTTTATTTATGTATATATATATTTTAAAGTTGGTACGTTGTTGGTCAGAGTTGTTTATTTGTTTATTAAGGTTTAGCGGTCAAAGATATTTGGTAATTTATGTAATTGCTGGCCATATGCTATCGTGGTGGTCCATGGGCCATTGTCTGCGCAAGTTATGTTATTTGCTTTTTATATAGAGTCCTAGTTGGTCTGGCCATTGTAAGATATAACCATTTGTTGTTTTAGTACTTTGTTAGTCATTAAACTGCAATTGAGTGGTGAAAGTCACCATCTTCTTGCTGATGTTGTGAAACGAGGGAAGATTTCAGTATATATAGTTAAGGGTCGTGAGCGAAAAACACCCCTATGGTATGCATAGAGTGTTTAACCCCCTATACATTCAATTTTTGAGCAAACAAGGGTCTAAATGCTGAAAAGACTAAGTGTCCCTCTATAATTGAACAAAAAAAGGGAAAAAAAAAATTAATTAAATGTGAAAAGACTAAAGTGTCCCTCTTTTTTTTTTTTTTTTTTTTTTTTTTTTTTTGTCCTTCTTCTTCTTATATACAAGGGCATTATTGGAAGAGAAAAGGGTTTTTTTAGAATTTTATGTCTTACAAATTTCATTATGCATTGTTGGAGTGATTCAAGTTTGAAGTTCACTAACAAGTACATAGCATCAACTCAACTCAACAAATCCTTGGGTTGGATCCATTTAAGGCCATAGTCTTTGTCAAAACACATGTTATCATGTCTTTCCTTACTAAAACTATCCATGTCAATTTTGGTCTTTCATTCCTAGTAGAACAGTCAATGTGAACAATGTCACTCTTCCTAACTAGTGCACTTGGTGATCTTCTTATTTACACATTTCCAAACCATCTTTATCTATTGTCTCTCATTTTATTCCCAATTGATACTATCTTAAGCATCTCATGGATTCGCTAATCTCTAATTCTATCCTTTCTCACCTCCTCACACTTTCACATCAACATTTGTAATTTTCACCACCCTCACTTTGTACATTTTATTGTTTCTTAGTTGCTCAACATTGTCCAATAAAGAATGACTTGTTTAATAGCTGCTTTATAAAACTTCGTTCCTTTCAATTTTAGAGGAATACACCGATCTCCCAGTATAAAACTAACTTCCTTTTGCACCACTCATTAGTCATTTTCTTAATTGTTATGACTTTGTTAAACAACTTATTTTTTATAAGGTACTTGTTCAATAATTTTATTAGTCAAGACACACCATAATCCCCTAAACGCTTCCCAACTTCAGTATGATGCCATTTGGTCCTAAAGCCCTTATTGTTTTCATCTTACTTAATACATTTTTACCCCGTACTCCCTATTTTTTTTCTAAGGTTACCATATTTTTCTGGGTATAAATTTTTGGTGATTTTCATTCAACAATTTTTCAAAATAACTCTTCCATCTTTTATTTTTATTTTTATTTTTTAAATCTCATCATCATATATATAATATGATCAAAACTCTGGTTTTTTCTTTCCCTTAGTTTAGCAAGTTTATATATATTCTTCCTATTTTTTGGACCTAATTTAGAATAGAGGTCATTGTATCCTTTATATTTAGCTTCTCTCACCACTTTCGAAACTTCCTTTTTGACACGGTATTTTTTCAGTGGTTTCTCTATTTCTAGTTTTTTTTTTTCCCCAAAGTTTGTAACATTCCATTATGTTCTTATAATAGTTTGGACATGTTCATTCCACCATTAAGTTCCTTAGATAATTTCCCTTTTCCTTTTGAATCTTCAAGGACTTCTTTAAATACTCGTAGAATATATTCAGTCATCTTATTTCACAAGTTAAGATAGCTTCCACAGCGTTATTTTTTATCTCCAGACTTGTGTCTGCCATGTACCATCTTATAACCCACAATATTTTTCTATATAACCATTAAAGTTTCCTCCTCTGTTTAATTTTTATCCATTAGGTATCTCTTTAATTAATTCATTTGTATGTTTCCTGTTGCAAAGCATAAAATGGAATAAAACGGAAGTGAACAGATAAATAAAACAATTAGAACACACATATATTACGTGGTTCAGCCATTAGGGCCTAATCCACGGCACAAAGAGCCCAAAGGGCTACATCACTTTTATAATACTCTCACAATACGTACACAATACAATGGTGGAGGCTCCTTTATATAGGAGAAGAAATTATGAGAATGGAAATAATTAGAAAATAGGAAACAAAGAGGATGTTTCTTCACTGATTCCTCTAGTAACACCAAATCTTCAATAATAGGAAACAACTAGAAGATTTTCCTTCACTGATTCCTTCATTAAATCTTCAATTTTCTCCATCAAAGTTGGAGCATGAATGCCCAACTTGCCATTGAGATGACGAGTAACAACAAGTATGAATGATGAAGAGAGAGGAGAAAATACGAAGAACAATGCTGCTGAACACACCGACAACCCAAACAAGTCAACAAAAAATTGCAGGAGACACGACAAAGGCAAGGACAATGCTACTGAACACATCGGTAGCCCAAACAAGTCGATTAAAAATGTCGGAGACATGGCAAAGACGAAGATAATGCTACCAAACACACCGGCAGCACAAACAAGTCAATAAAAACTGTCGGAGACACGGCAAAGGCGAAAAACATTACCGCCGAACAAATCGGCAGCCTAAACAAGTCACAAATAGCATCGAGAAACCCATAGCAACATTTCAAATGCTAAGGGAATACCCTAAAATAGGGGTCCAAACCTAGTAAGAGAAATTAGGCTCTGATACCATGTTGCAAAGCATAAAGCAGAAGTGAAGAGATAAATAAAACAAGTAGAATACATATGTATTACGTGGTTCAGCCACTAGGGCCTACATCCATGGCACAAAGAGCCCAAAGGGCAACATCACTTTTATAATATTCTCTCAATACTTACATAATACAATGGTGGAGACTCCTTTATATTGGAGGAGAAATTATGAGAATGGAAAGAATTAGAAAATAGGAAACAAGGAGGATGTTTCTCCACTGATTACTCTAGTAACTCCAAATCTTCAATAATAGGAAACATCATCAATTACTGAAAGATTTTCCTCCATTGATTCATCCATTAAATTTTCAATACTCCCCCTCAAGTTGGAGCATGAATCTCCAACTTGCCATTGAGATGACGAGTAATAACAAGTGTGAATGATGAAGAGAGAAGACGAAAAACAATGCTACCGAACAAACCGACAACCCAAACAAGTCAACAAAAAACTGCCGGAGACACGACAAAGGCAAGTACAATGTTACCGAACACACTGGCAGCCCAAACAAGTCGATAAAAACTGCCGGAGACACCGCAAAGACGAAGACAATGTTACTGAACACACCGGCAGCCCAAACAAGTCAATAGTACTGCCGGAGACAAGACAAAGGCGAAGAACATTACTGCTGAACAAACAGGCAGCCCAAACAAGTCACAAATATTACCGAGAAACCCTTAGCAACATTTCAAATGCTAAGGGAATACACCAAAACAGGTGTTCGAACCTAAGAAGAGAAATTAGGCTCTGATACCATATTGCAAAGCATAAAACGGAAGTGAAAAGATAAATAAAACAAGTAGAACACACAGATATTACGTGGTTCAGCTACAATGGCCTACATTCACGGCACAAAGAGTCCAAAGGGCTACATCACTTTTATAATACTCTCTTAATACATACATAATACAATGGTGAAGGCTCCTTTATATAGGAAAAGAAATTACGAGAATGAAAAGAATTAGAAAGTAGGAAATAAGGATGATTTTTCTCCACTGATTCCTATAGTAACACCAAATCTTCAATAATAGGAAACAACTGAAAGATTTTCCTCCACTGATTCCTCCATTAAATCTTCAATATTTCCAAAACGGTGCTTTAATGTGTTCACCCAATACTACTTGGGGTTTGCTAATTATATTAACTATATTTTCTTTCAATGCAAGTTTTACTAATGTTATCTATTTTACTTCTAGTAACAATTAGGACATCGTCTTTAAATTATTGTCAATGATTATCCCTACTCCATTTCTATATTTATCTTTCTCGGGATAATAAAGTTAATATTTCGTGCTTTATTTCCTAGCCTTTTCTCCTATCCACTAAGTTTCTTGTAAACATCCTATATTTCTAAACATAGCATCTACCAATTCTAGTTCTTTAATTGTCAATTGGTCACCAAAGGTGGTGTAGCCTAATGGTACTTCCTCGCTTTCCAAAGGAAAAAGTAGAGGGTTCAAGTCCCCATAGGGGCATTGTGGGTGTGTGTGTGTGTTTTTGCCCAATGAAAAAAAAAGAACGGTCAATTGTTCCTATACTCCAAGTCATTACCTAAGCCTACTATCATGGACTAACTTCATACCCGTGCTCTTCCAGAAAAACATGGAAACCCCTTGCCTACTTTTGATGCTGGAATCAGGCTACCTAACGCAACCCTCATCCTTTTCCTGGGGTTGGGACCGACTGTGTAAGAATAAGACACTAAACATGACACACAGAGTTACGTGCATAACACCGACATGCATTCTAAATTCCTTGTTATATATGCCATACCTTCTCAACAAACACATACACTATTATCTCCAGGTTCTGTGTTCATTATTTGCATTGAAGCGTGACATTGCCGATTATATACATATAAAAATAAATATAGCACGGATGGCATCTTCCTTTCCATAGTAAGGAGACAGCTTGTTGCTGTTATTAATGTGCATAGTAATCGACTCTCTTTTATTCAAATGGATTATTTTCTGAATATTTTGATAAAGCAGTTGGTGGATAGATGGATCGCATGTCAACAGACTAGCTAATAGTGTTGGAGTCTATACGAACCATTATCTGGTCACTTTTATATGGAGTTGAATGGTGGTTTTAGAACACGTTGAGCATATACGTTGGTTGATTTTTGAAATTTTTACCTTGTAGAATTTTGAACGAATACAATGTGTATTTGTTCATATTGGTCATGACAAATTTTACGTTGGCTATCAAACTACCTAACACAACCCTCCTCCTCAATCCAGGCTTTCAGAAAAAGACTTTGGTGGTGGTTGTTGCACTGTACTTTCAACTCCTTGAAAATTTACTTGTTTCGTCTTATATTCCTTTGCTTATCATGCTATGCACTGTACTTTCAACTCCTTGAAAATTTACTTGTTTCGTCTTATATTCCTTTGCTTATCATGCTAAACATTTAGTATTTTCTTCTGGATGTCATCAATGGCAACTTATTTCAAGTTTACATTTTACTGTTGGTTACATTTGCTTAAAAAAACTCCATCTCGGTTTCTATTTGAGACACGATGTCATACTATGTGTAGATTGTCGAAACATAGTTACAAAAATCTTATTCATTGTGTTTCACATATATGTGCAGGCTTGATGGCTACATACCATGCCAAGAACGAGTACTGTCTTCTTTCTGATATGTGCCAAGGCTACGGGGTGTTTTCCAGTATCATCTGCCAATTAGAAGATTGATTTTCCACAAGTAATAATACCGGCTGATACTTTAGATACACCGAACCACTCTACAGGTGAAATGAAATCTAGATCAAATAAATTTTGTTGATGAACAATTCTGGTGAACATGTTTGCTTGTTTAACGAAATAGACCTAATAAATTTTGTTGATGAACTATTCTGCTTGAAATCCTTTTTTTATCCTTCTGTGAAGTCTTATTTGAGTTTATACAGACAATGGCTTTTTATGTTAATAGGGCGACGATCTGATTCTGAATAATATTATTTTGTTTGTTTTCCAATCTAATTTCTGTGTAATTCTTGTTTTTTACATCATTCGATACCCAAGTTAGTTCTGAAGTTGAGCCTAAATTTCAAATCTATGTGTGTTTGTGTGACACCTCTTGAGAAAGATCATGTGGCTTAGATTTTAACTGCATATATATATAGAGAGAGAGAGAGAGGGATAGAGAGATTTGTTGACCCTAACTTTCTGACATTAGAGCTGAACTGTATGTGTACAAAAATTTGTTAATATGGATTTCATGATCCATCAAACTTGAACTTAAAATGTGCTTTTGATTCGTCTAATTTGATGAAAGTCTATATATATATATATACATATATATATATATATTTCAGACTGAGTTTGGGTTGACTCCAAAGTCGTACCTTTATATATATATATATATATACACATTTGTTATATATATATATGTGTGTGTGTGTGTGTGTGTGTGTGTGTGTGTGTGTCTTGCTCACCTATGAGAGAGAGAGAGGGAGAGAGGTTTGTTGACCCTAACTTTGTGACATTAGAGCTGAACTGTATCTGTACAAAAAATTTACATCAAACTTGAACATAAAATGTGCTTTTAATTCGTCTAATTTGATCAAAGTCTATATATATATCAGATTGAGTTTGGGTTGACTCCAAAGTCGTACCTTTTTTAGAAAAACGATAATTACTCCAATTGGATAGTCCAAGTGAAAAATTCTAATATTTTAATTGTCAGCTGATACCCATTTCTTTATCTCCCCACTTGACTAATATGTAAAATTATGGAGGGTATGGAGGGCTTACGTGACTCCTGTTTAACAGTAGGTGCTTGTTTCAAAAGGTTAACCTATTGTGTAATATTATATACCTATTTATTTATACACAATTATTTTTTTATTTAGATTTGATGTGTGACAAATAACTCTCGTTATATTCTCCTCCATCTAAATTTGCAATGCTCTCGTTATGACTCGGGCCACCATGTCTACCAGGGCTAAGAGCTTGGCGTAACATCGGATCAAAGACTGTAACTGACTTTGATACTAACTATAACGGGTGGACACTTGTCCATTTACTCAAAAGTTAAAACTGTTGGGTAATGTTGCATACCCACCGATTTATACTTAATCACTTTTTATCCAGATCTAGTATGGAACAAATAAACCTTGTTACAATAGGTCATCCATGATTTAAGTAGCACATATTGATCTAACCCTCATTCTCGATATTGACATTTTCGTGTTTTTGCTCTTGAATTTACTCTCACTTCAATTTTCGCCTTATGTGAGCATCTTTTTAGGAATGCCTAATTTTTGAGAAAAAAAAAAAAAAAAAAGCAATAAAAAGATTTTTGGAATGTCGTGACCCCATTTTCATACGTACCTCTTTAAATGTTACACACAAAATTAGAAAAAAACCATTCCAGTCAAGCTCAAGTACCACCAAAGTCAATTGAAATTTAACTTTAGCGACGTCTGTATATGGGGTACACATATTATTTGACGAATAATGTTCATTTTTTGTAGTAATATTCCCAGTCGATGTGAGACGATTGTCGCAACATCTAGAATTTTCTATGCATTTATGTCTCCCACTTGACAGTGACAACTCAAAGAAAATTAAGGGTACCCTATATTTATTTATTATTATTTTTTTTTTGAAAGGTAGGGTTACCCTATATTTAGCCAAAACAGAATGATGAGGAAACTCGTTTAAAATGTAATTGAAAAAAAAAAAAAAACACACACACACACACACACACAAATTCAATAACAAACAGATCTCCATGTGCTTGGTAGGTTTTATTTTTAAATACACCATAATTGTTTTAGGTTTATATTTAATTGCTAATATATATACCTACATATATATATATATAGTCTATACCCATTAAAAATGGGACCACCATTTCCCTTTGGAAGTTTTAGTACTGTTTTGTATACTGAACTATCCAACCCATGCAACAAGAAAGATACAATAAATAAATAAATAATAAATAATAAAAATATTGAGAGAGAGATTAAACATGCAACAAATGTGATTGTTTTGGGATTAAAAATATACATACTTATTTCTTGATTATAATGTCAACTATTGCCACCTCACTTTCGGCAGTCGAGAAGAATGAAAACAATATGCGTGATTTGATAGAAGTCATTTTGATTTTATTAAAAAGATATTATAAATTGCAATCATTAAAGAAAATGCAATGTTCAACGGTAATTTCTCATATTTTCAAAGTAAAAAATCGAAAAGTTAAAGTTCTCAATTTAAGTTTGTGAGGGTCTTCTCAGAATAAAAATTAAAAAAAAAAAATGAAAGACATAAACGTGAATCACAGGATGTCATGTGTAGCTACTATAATATTTTTACATTAATTTCGTAATAATTTTAAAACATTTATTCAATAATTATTTTAAGTAATTACGTAATATTTGAATTTTTAACTCTACTACCGTTGGAATAGATGGCTAAGGGGGGTTTTAAATGCACATTTTCTTCCAAGCTTTTGTTTGGGGTAATAGAATTTTCTTTGTTCCCAAAGTGAAAGATAGGAGCAAAATTTTTTAAAACTATCGTGAGAGTTATTTTTTTAAAAAAATAATAATAAAATAGAAAAGAAAAATTATATCGACCTCTTTTGAGATTTTAACATATATGGGTAGACCATTTAACATATTTTACTTCGATCTCTTTTGAGATTGACACGTGTGTTCACACTCCTAGCATTTTATTTCTAACAAAATTGTTGATTAATTTTTTTTTTTTAAATGATGATTTTGTCCTTCACTAATATAAAATGTAATATAATACTCCCCCTTTCAAATTTAGTTGTCGATGCAAGTATTGTGTTGTCCAAGTTGTTGAGTTGCTCTTCATATATGGGAGTCCGTGTTCAAGTCTTGCACCTTCCCCATCCCTTTTTAACAATTAACCAGTAACCCCTAACATTCTTGCCTGAAAAAAAAAAAAAAAAAAAAAAAAAAAAAATTGATCTTTCCTTTTCAGGTTGTCCCAATACTTGTCCACTTTACGACTTAGTTTGGATTGAGTGATTTAGAGGGATATGGAAAGAAAAGAAAAGAAAAAATTGAGTTATTTAAAGGGATATGGAAAGAAAAGAAAAAAAGAAAAATAATAGTGGAAATACTATTTGGATAATTTTTAGTAGAGAGAAAATAAAGGATTGTGAGAGTATCCCTAGTGTTCTATCTTCCAAAAAAATGAAAAGATTTTGAGAGAAATGATAATAAGTAAGTAATATTTTCATAATCCCAAAACTAATTTCTTATAACATTTGACTCTCATCTTATAACAAAATAAGACATTGATGTCTCATATTTTTTTCAATGAAAAAGCATCCCATCAATTTTTTTTTTTTTTTTTTTCGAAAGTTTCATCCCATCAAATTTTACAGAATCATAATCAATTTAAAAAATATATAAATGCATGACATAAACATATTTTAGCACGCCCCACTGATTTGAATAAATCTAGAAGCTGCTAGAAAAAGGAAAAGCAGCAAATCTCATTAGTCAAGCTGCTACGAGATTCAATATCTCCACAATCCCGTCAATTTTTTGACCTACTACTCCTCGAGTGACAACAACAAATCCATAATTCCTTTTAAATTTTCTTGCCAATACCATCCTATAAAGAATCACCAGTCTCATTTTTCACCACCATCTCACCATACCCATTTTCATAGAGTTTTTTTTTATATAAAAATAAGGATAAATTTGATATTAGCAAAGTTTCAATAAAAAAATTTAGTTTTCAATTTCTTTTCATTTTTTGGAGGATAACAAAAGTTACTATTTGTACCTAATTCTATCCTACCAAATTCTTTATTTTCCTTTCTTTTCTTTTCCATCCAACATGTCGTACTAAGCACATTTTTATTATTTCTTTCTATTACCGTTCCTTTTTTTTTTTACTTTCTTTTCCATTCTACCAAACCAAACCGACCCTTAAAAAGTTTAAAGAGTAATGATACCATTTGCACCATTGCCTCCAAAACTCAATGCAGAGCTACAATGGAAGATGAATTCAATGTTCTTCTTAAAAAATATACGAGCTCTCTAGTGCCGGCTTCTGTAACTCTGCAAATGAGTTCTTAAACTTAAAAAGTAAGTTGATTGTAATATTAAAAAGGATAGATTATGTATAAGTAGAGCATTTAATCTTTATTACTTTGAACTTTCTTGAAATTTGGCGTATGTACTCAACAACACTCCCTTCCATTAATAAATATTAAAAAAATGACTATATTATCATTTTCTTATATTAAAAGACTTTAATAATTTTATTTTTTGACATGAAATGTCATTAAAATAATGCAAAGTATAATTTTTATTAAATTTTACAAAAACAATTATTTATTTATTTATTTTTAATGACATTTGATTATATTTCATTTTAGAGTTTCATTAATTTTTTTTTTATTTTTTATAAAAAAAAAAATGTTACCCTACTAAAAAGTTACAAGACACGATTTGCTGCAAAAGATTTCAATCAAAGCTACATTATTGACTTTGACAAAACATTAAAAATTCTTTCTTACGTTAAAACCCCACCATTCAATTAGTTCTTCCTCCTACAGTTAGCCACGGATGGCTTACGCGGTAACTTCACATTAAAAATGCTTTCTTATGTTAGGGGATGTATAGTTTAGTGATACTAACTCATCTTCGAGAATAAAATGTTTGAATTAAAAAAAAAAAAAAATTTCACCACTCACACACACTTTGCTCATTTAGAGACTTAGTTTAGTTTGGTTTCAATGGAAAAATAAAATGTAGTACCTAACAACGCATCTTCACAGACCAAAACTCTCACCATCCACTTTGAAAGGAGTAAGAGATACCACTGGATTTGAATTGAAGATTCAAGCCCTCGTAAAAATAAAAGTGAGTATGTGAGTGTGTTTTTTGTCGCTGGTTTAATAATTCTTTTCTTCCGAACTTTTTTTTTCCCAATAAGAAAATCGCATTGGGGAAGAAGTTAAGCATGGAATTTTATTCATGACT